AAAAATGAGTCCATTGTCAGAAATATATTTGAACCGTATAAGTATATATTTCAGTATTCCAGTTATATCATTTATAAGTTGCAATGTAGTTTTATACTTTCTAAGAGGGAGAAGCTTGTGAAAACCCTATTTATTCCATATGCACCGTGGCAGCTTTCAAATATTTGAATGACTAGAAAATCTTTTCACATGGATCAATCTGCGGAGCCGCCTACTGCCGTTACCCGAGCCGATTTCAGGAGTTTTTCAGGAGTGTTTAGTTATTTTTTCTAATATCTATTCTAATTTTTGCAGGAAATTATCTAGTCTAATAAAAAAGTCATGGTGTGCTTGAAAGTGCGACAACTCAATGAAGACGAATCTACGCGGTACTCGGGCAAAACTCCTCAACGGGGGCATTTTTATATCCTGAATTTACCAACAAAATTGGAACACGATTTGAAAGTGCAGATCTTCGAGTTTACAGCGCTTATTTATTCTGACGATACTTCTGCAGGAACTTTGGCTCCTGGAAATCTAGAAAACAGCATGCTTCGAAGTTTTCCTCGCTAATCTTGCCATAAGAGTTTTTCTCAACATCATTCATGAGTTTAGTATTTTAGAAAGTGCAAGTCGAGAAACTTCCAAATATTCTTGCAAATGGCGATTCATCACAATAATCGTAAGTGAACTAAGTTTGTACCGGCAGTTCGGCTAACCACTCCAACCATTCGTCTGCACCGGAGCCACACGTACTGCAGTGAACCCTCAGGTGAGGAAATTTGAGGGAACCGCGAACGCTCACGAAATTTCTTCGGTTTTTCCAAGGTCTTACACGCTTATGGTTTTGCTTGTATACAGTAGCATTTTTCGATTTCGGTGTTGTCATAAAACAGAATGAAGTGGCCACCCTTGGTGGCTGGCCACCCTTGGTGGCCAAATTATCGCTGAATTTTCAAACTTTCATTAATTGCAAGTTGTTTCAGCACGCTACTTCAGGAGACCCCTAGAAGTTTCAATTTGAACAGGACCGTGGCACCTTTTGAAGACTTGAAGGATAAAAAGCTCTACACGGGCCCATTCAGGAGGCATCCACTGCCGTTACCCGAGCCAATGGCAGGAGTGTTTTTGACCGTTTTCACAGCGATGGAAACAGTGCAATCAGTGCGATCGCAAAGAATATCGGTGTTTAACGTTGAAATACCTACTATTATTACTATATTAAATACTAAAAAATTACTCGATTTATATTGAAATTTTTTTTACAAGAGTCAGGCGTTTTAACAAGGTCGAGACCTACTCGTAAGGCCTTGAAAGTTCAAATCTGGTGCACGTCAAAGTTTTGGGACCTGATTTAATCAGCAAGCTGCCTTCTCGCCTCGTCAAATCGAATCCACTCATTTGAAGCGTCGTTATAGCGCTGGGACCTAAAGGTAGGGCGCCTCAAACTTACAAAAACCGCTTAGAACGCCGAAATTTCACCATGCTGCTCTTGAACGGGTCCGAGCTTAATGACACCTACTATGGTGACACGATACATGTTTCAGCCTAGCGACTCGATGCTCTCCACTAAAATTGTTAGAGAGAGGTTTGAACTTGGGTCAATATTGTTATCTTTTGAGCACTGAGCTATTGTTTACAGGTAGAAGGCGAACTGATAAGCTATTCATCATATTCAAATTTTTTCTGAGTCCCGCAATTTTCGTCTACCCTGTAGAATCCTCCAGAAAGTGAAAAGGCCACAAAATGTCACTTCCATAGGTTCACTACCCTTTAACTTTTGTAGACGGTGTGTAAAGAAACATGAGCCGCACATTTTATTAGAAGCCTGTACAAAGGAAGCGATAAATGGATCATTCAATGCGAAACCTCTATCTATAAATGCATCTATGAAGGCGATGAGCGGACTGTTCTTCAGTTTCTGTTGGCCAGATTCACTCGAAGCTGTCGGCCATCGAAATCCGATCCGTTGAGGGTGTTCACGGCGTTGTTGCTCCAGCCTCGTCAGAGAACTCACAGAATGCCGAAGCCCTTCATACGGCCAGTCTCGCGATCGCACGGGATCCTGAAAATTCACCAAATTTGGTCAGAAGAATAACTTGAACAGCACTGGACTTACCTAACATTGTTACTTGGCCGGCTCGGCTGAAATAATTACTGATGGCGTCCTCACTGGTTCGATAAGGTAGATTTCCAACTGAAATAGGCATCAGTTAGGTAGGACTTTACCTACATTTCTCTACAGATACTTACCTATGTTACTCTACAAAACTTACCCTATTTTTCTATATAAGTTCACCTAAATTTATCTATAAATTAATACTCACCGTAGACGGAAAA